ATATATATGATTGATAAATAATGAATCTCCATGCAGCCCTTGTGAACGTCCTTGTTTCCTTGCAGTAAAGTTGTACACAATTTACACCGAGCACGTCGCGTGTGCTGCCCCACAAGTGTGAAGTTGTGTTTGTGAACTAGTGAAGGGTCATGTGAGCACAAACATGCAAGGTGTGCGTGTGTTTGTATGCATGTCCCCTGTTTACTTTGGCAGTCCTTTCTCTTTGCTTTTGAGTGTCTGGAGGGAGGCGCCAGTATGGAAAAGGGCCGCGAGAGAAAAAGGGAGTTTGAAAAAGAAGGCGAGCGAGCGTAGTGGTGACCCGTTGGGGGTAAAAGCTGGGATTGACTGTCTTAAGTAGAGGGGAGTTGGTCGGAGTTGTGTAAATGCAAAAGTGTGCATTTGAGTGTGCGCGCATGTGTGATTCATTACTCCCGCCGAGGAAAATGAAAAGAAGCGTCTGGCCACGGGCCCAGAGGGAGGAGATACAGAAGGTAGAGAGAGAGAGAGAGAGAGAGATTCACTCACATGCAGTTTGAATGAAGGCTCGTCTGTGAAAGACATACAAAGGAAAGAAAAAGAGACTTTTGTAGGATGCCATGTTGCAGTGCATCTAAAGCACACAGACTAATTTTGAAAATGCAACTTTTTCTCTTTGTATTTTCTCTCTGTTCACACTCTGACAGTTTGCTCCTCCACAGTGGATAAAAGTGAAAACTGCCCCAGTGTGTTGCAGTGTGGATGAGAATAAATAACTCTAAGCCTCTTCGAGTGTATGTCTGTAAAGTTAAACCGTATTGTTTAATGAGACTCCTCATTGTTTAGGGTCCCTTAAACCAGACTGCTGTAAATGTAAAAATAATAGCAAAAATTGTAAAATCAATTTTGTTGTGAAAAATCTTACTTGGAGTTCAACCTTGATAAAATCCATCACAGAGAGCAGGAGGATACAGGTTTAATGAACCAGTATAGAATCACTCATTACCAACCAGATGTGATACACACATATACTGTATATATAAGTGTGTGTGTGTGTGTTTGTGAGAGAGAGACATACATTTAGTTGTTTCTCAAATGGCAAAGAAGGGCTTATATCTGTTTTTGTTTTGTTGGTGTTTCAGTGTGGTTTTCATAAACTTCTTCCAGTTTATTGTGAACATGTTCTTGGATGCACAGTTGATTTTTGTGTGTGTGTGCGCAGATCAGGAGGTGGGAGACGGCAGCAGCAGCGTCGGAGCTCAGGGCTTCTCCATAAGAGCTTCTCCCAAGACCACCCCGCGGTGAGTACATGCTTTCTATCACACGCGCACACACAAACGCACGCACACACACACATACACAAACACACACATAGATCCCCCACCACCCAAATCCCACCCCGTTTTTACATTCCTCTCTGGCCCCCCTTCGTTACCCATCCCCCTCTCTGCCTTTCCCTTCGCCGGCCCGCCGTCTCCCCTCTCTTCCTCTCACTCTTCACACACACCAACACACACACACACAAACACACATGCACACTCTGCCTTTCGCTCTTACCCCTACAGGCAATCCTCGCTCTCTTACTGCCAACGATAACGTGTGTTTTTGAAGGTGGTAACCATCCTTCAACTCCACTTAGATGTTTTTTTTCTCAATGTAATCACACATGGAAGGACAGTCCAGTGATTTTCTGCTTCTTCTCCATCTGGGAATATTTGCATGGAGCCCTCAGAATGGGAATATTGTTGAGACAGATCCATTTATGTTTGTTTCTTCTACTTTGTGGGATGGATAATTTCCCTTGATGAGGTTCGTAACATTTTTATCATGAATACTGCACCTCTGTTATTTCATGTTTTGCATTTTGGACTGGCTGGGAATGGCTGTCTTAAGATTTAAAAAGAGAATATTGTAATATGTTGCTTTTCTACATAGTTTGTGACACCTTGATGATTTTCTACTCAAAACACTTGAATGTAAAAGTTAATAAATCTGTTTTTTTGCATTAAGTGTGACACCCTTTTTTAAATAATTCTATGATATTGACACTTAAAAGCAGTTTTTATTATGTTTTATGTAGAACGATTCCAGAAAATCTCATCGCTGCTGCTCGTTTGTACTTTTCCTCCACATTGTGTATCCTTCACTCTGTTCTTTCTTCCCTCTCCTGCTGTCCCTCATTTCTCCTCTTTCACACTCAACAGATTGACTCAGCACACACACACACCAAGATTTATCGCACCTAGACAGTCCACTTCCCTTTTTCTGTCTCTCGCCCTCTTGCATGTCCTCTTTCTCCCTCTCCCTCCACGTCTTTCTCGCTCGCTCGCTCACACACACACACAGACGGAAAGCCTGGCCCCTTTTCATTAAGGACCACTGTAACAACAAATTGATGTAGTTTTATAGCCAGCAGTGTCTATGTTTGTCTGACGTTTATGTTGGGTCGTTAATCTCCCTATTGACCTCTCTATCTCTCCTTTTCTATCCATGCTCTCTCTTTCTCTCTGTCTCTCTCTCTCTGCCTCCATTCAGCTCTCCCATTGGTGGCCTGCAGATCCGCTATGACTCCTCGGGGTCGTTGCCGGGGCCGGGTCTGGGGTTGCTAGGGGCGGGGGGAGGCAGCGGGGAGACGCTGCTCCCGGTGGCCACCAGCATAGAGCAGCTCCTGGAACGGCAGTGGAACGAGGGGCAGAGCTTCCTGCTCCAGCAGGGAGGGCAAGGAGATGGTAAGTGACCACAAACACAAAAAGATACACAACAATGCAATCACACACACAGGGCTGGGTATCCTGTGTTGGGGCTCTGATTCCACAACAGTATTTTGTGACCTTATTCAGAGAAATAAAACAATATTTAAAAAATCACTAGAATTGAGTATTTCCTGGGAAAATTGGTGTGAATGTCAAAAATAGCCCTACCTTGCAATGCTAAAGAAAGCGATTTCCTGGATCCACCCCTTTGTCCAGAACTGTGCAAAAACTTTACACCGTCTTTCTTGGCCCTGTTCAATCCTTCCAAGTTTTATGGAAATTTGTTAAGTAGTTTTGCATAATGCTGCTGACAAAAATACAAAGTTGGAGGACCGTGAGACCTGTCGTGCAATGTTGTACAGAGATTCGATACCCCCCCCCACACACACACATTTGGATGCACACCTGCTTGGTGGTCATTATTTCCACCTTTACTTCTTGCCTAATTTCTCTCGCCTTCACAATCCCCTGTTGCCTCTCTGCCTCTCAATCCTTTTACTCACTGTCTCCATGTTATATGTTAGTGTCTGTTGATCTCCGTCAGTAATCTCCCCATCTGAACATCCCTTTACGGATCAGTAGTTGCAGCCTAGTTGTTTGAAAGGTCTTCCTTCAATCTGGACTATTCAGGTTGAAGTTCCTGTGTCTGCACATCCTCCTCCTAACCGGAGTTGTCCTTGAGCACTGCGCTGAGTCTGTACAGGCACCAGGGTCACTGCTCTGTAGCTGATCTTGACCTCTGACCCCCCTTCTAGAGTATATCTGTCTATTCAGTCACTGGGTATGTGAGCAGAGCTGTGTGGAGGCTGAGCAGAGTTACACGGTATCATCCTGGGGGCTTTTTTAGAAAGTCTGGTGTTCTTCTTGCTCGTGAAAAGATCACTCCAATACTTACTGCTCCACCCCAGAAGTATAAGACATTCTTTATATAATGTAGGTAAAAGTTTGAAAAGTGTTTCTCTCACACAGGAACGTTGACTTATCATAGATTGAAACTCAGTCTAGAGCGATTACAAAACATTTTGAGCAGGGAGAATAAATTGCTGCTGCCGCTACACTACACTAAGGTCAGTTTTCACATCTTTTTCTTTCTTTCCTTCTCTCTCTCTCTCTCTCTCTCTCTCTCAGTGGTGGGGATGTTGAAGTCGCTCCACCAGCTTCAGGAGGAGAACCGGAGGTTGGAGGAGCAGATCAAAACTCTGACTATGAAGAAAGAGAGACTGCAGCTTCTCAGCGCTCAGTTATCAGTGCCTTTCACTCCCACCACAGCCTGCTCTGGTACGTGCACATTCACAACTTAAGCAACTCTTTGTAGCGAAATAAATAAGGCTGGTTAAATAATTAACACATAATTAGAGTTACTTACTGCAAATGTCGGGTATAAACAGTATCTGCACCAAAACAAAAACGTTCACAGACATACACAATTTTGTGTTTTGGATTTGTGTCCGAGCTTTCCACTAAGTTTCGTGGAAATCTGTTCAGGGTTGCGATTACACAAATATGTTAATTTATTCAGACAAAGGAAAAAATGAACCAATGGACAGGGGCTGAAACGATCTCCTTGCTGGAATTACAAAGACAAAAAAAATCTAAATTTGTGTTGCAGATGTGAAAGGAGCCCAGCTTGGAGCCACCGACTCATCATTACCTGTTGCAGCTCAGGTAAAGACCAACAAGAGAAAGAACTGTAACAAATAAACATGTATGAGTCACTCAGAGAAGCACTAGGTCGTAAAGTTAGTTTAGTTCAGTTATGAGCTAATGTCTTAATGTTGATGATAAACATAGTGTCTCATCATTAACGTGTTAAAAACAGGGTCTGAGTGGAGGATTTGTCATTAAAGCCGTTAACCTCTTCTCTCAGGATAGTACTTCTTGTGGTGGCCACAGCAGTAGTGGCTCCACCTCCTCCCTCTCCACGCCTCCCTCCGTCTCCCATAGCCCACCCCAGCCGCAGCTCAATGGACTCGCCAATGTGGGGGCAACCCCGGCCGGGCTGGGCGTGGTAGCTGGGCTGATGGGTGCAATCGGCACGGGCAGCTCTCTGGGCATTGGGGGAATCGTTGGTGCGCTGAACGGGGTCATCCAGACACCAGCGGGCACCGGCAGCCCTCACCAACACACTAGTGGAGCAGCTACGGGCGTCACGTTGCCGGTCAACAACAGGTACGTGTTGGGTGTATGGTGTCAGATCAGACAAAATGAAGCCAGAACAGACTGGACCACTTAATCAAGTGTCATAACATGTAATGCATCATGCTGTTTTATGGGCATTCTCAAAATCATTGCAAGCGATACCTCTCCTTACCAAGACCGATACCTGGACTTTGTATATTGGCTGATACCACGTACCGATCCAATACCAGTAATAACAAACGAAACAACAACACGAAATAACAAGTTGTATAACGTATTTTAACAGCTGTTTGCTGTTATCCCTGTACGGGGGTGATGATTGCCATCCCTCCTACACGTCTGCATTTTACTAAAATTGCTATTAGCTCGCTCTGACTAATGCTACACTATCAGAAATCTCTTCTTCTCAACTGCTGTAAAAACAAAACTGCTGTTTTGGAGCAGTGAAGAAACGATTTCTGGGAAAAGAAAATTGCACTTTTGTCTGGATCAAATGTAAAGATGTGGTATCAGATCAGTGCATAGATTTGCACACTCGCTGATGTCCCACCCGGCATTTTCTGCAGTTTCTGAGGCAGAACATGTCTCGTTATATCGCTTGTCCTCCTATCAGTTTATAGTCCATGGATTGGAGCTCTACAAACATGCTCCCTAAACATTTTACATTTGAGCTTTCAGGCTCTGTCGCATTTCATCTCATCACATCCACACCAAGAAACTGAAAACACCAGAATCATTTCATCGAAATGTCAGAGACCATATTTGTCTGGCAGCTTCATCTCTGTTCTTTTTCAAGAGGTTTGTATGTGAACTTTATTGGTTCCTCTCTCTTTCTCTGTGTTTCCTTTTGCTTGCGTGTTGGATTCTAGCAGCTCAACAACTAGTAAGAACAGGTGAGACACAAGTCAGATCAGTTCTTTACGTCGGACAGAGACAGGTTGTAAAAGCGTTTGTGATTTTGAATATGGAATCGACTTTTAAGTTTTCTTTATAATATTGCAATAGCAGTATATAACATTTTTTAAATATTTGTTTTATGGACATTATTGACAGAAGTATTTTATTGTTGAAATGCAGTAGTGTGTATAGAGTGTTTTTATTGTTGTCGTCTGACTGAGTTGTGTTTTGTGTCAGTGCCGCACGGCTTGGTCTGTTGTCTGAGCAGCACAGACTCCTCCTCCAGCAGCATCAGCTCCAGCAGCTGCTGTCCTCGCAGCCTTCAGCGGTACGGCACACACACACACACACACA